GGGGGTGTCGCTCAAGTCCCGAGAATTTGCCAACTTGATCCGGAATAAGTTTGGCAGTGCTGACAACATCACTCACTTAAAAAACTCCCTAGAAGAGTTTCGGCCAGGGACCAGTGCCAGGGCCTACGGAGGCAGCACCACCATTGTAAACAAACCCAAATATGGCAGTGACGACGAGTGTTCCAGTGGCACATCGAGCTCTGCTGACAGCAATGGGAACCAGTCCTGCGGGGCCAGCGAGGCCAGCACGCTGGACCGCCAGGGGAGGCTCACCATAACCATGACCCTGGAGGAACTGAGGGAGATCAAGGACACCCAGACACAGCTGGCCGAGGACATTGAGGCGCTGAAGGTGCAGTTTTACAGTTTTATTTGTCAGACTCTACAAGAGGAAAGATACAGGTATTTCTATCTTCTACTGGCATTCTGTTGAACCTTAATGTACAGCTTAAACTTAATACATTATTAATGTGTTTTAATATGAATGTGTATCAGAATTCGTTTAGGAATCGAGTATTTTTCTTGACTTATCTCATTAGCAACAAACAGCTAACTATTGAGAAAAGCCATTGTAAGTGAGAATCTGTTAGAATACACTTGGTAAGTTATGACCCTTGTGCAGCTGAGAATCCTGCAGGAGATAGAGCTCTAAAAACTCCTTGCATTAATTCGTACATCTGTATTTTATTTCTCTCCATGTAGGATCTCTATGAGTTACAAGCAACTCTACACCACATAACAACAACAACATTCCCTCTATAGGAGGTGATTTTCCTTCATTTTCTCAATCAAAACATGTCGAAGAAGTTTTTTATCAAAATGAGTATGATGATGTCTAATCTTGTAGAATAAATAGTGAAGTACCCATTACATATACCATTAAACTTTCAAATACAGCTTATTCATGGTTTCTTTATCTGATGTGACTCTACTATATGAATTTAGAAGTACGACTTTTCTCAAATTTTTCTTTTGTGAAACAGTTGCTTGAAATTGTCCATATGGAGCTTTGGTTTTATCATCTTTATCTTATAGCTGTATAAAATTTAATTCCATGTAAGTGGTTTGGATACAATGATTTTTACATGCATGTTTTATACTAATTAACAAGTATGCAGTTGCATACACTTGGGTCAGTTTGTGCTTGAATGTGTCCTGTAGTTATATTTGTGATTTGCATGACATAGCCATCTACTATTTTGCTTTATTGAGACCTTTAATCGGTTTATTTAAACCACCATCATTTGACACCTATGAGATCGTAACTGAGAGGAACCATTAGACCTTTATTAAGTTCTCTTGCCTCCTGCCCCCCTCACTTCTTAATGATTGTCTCAGGTAGCCTGTGTAAGCATCTAAACTTGCATTGTTGTTGGTGCATGTGGTCAAGTCTGATCCAACCCACAGCTGACACTCCAGCAGTTTTTCAGAGGAATTAAATTGCACAGGGGGAGATCACCCATCCTTCTCCCACAGAGCAGCTAGTGGGTTCGAACCATGTGGTTTTGAGACAGTAACCACAGCTTCTTACCACTAGACCACCAGCATCAATCACAGTTATTCCAGGTGAAGGCATCTTTCTCAAACAGTACTGCCTTTTCAAGATAGACATCATGAAGTTTAAAATCCCTGCCCTCTTAAGGAGGTAGGGTGGGAATGGATAACTGTGCTTTTCTTTCTTTGCATTTGAACATTTAGCAATATCTCCCGATAGTCTATCTTTAGTTTGTAGCAAGCATAATTTCTAATTGTCACTTAAGTTCCAAGAACTGACAAATGAGAGTGAGCACAAGCATTGGCAACAGTGGAGTTGACTCCAGAGGAGAAGTCTGTACTAAAAGGATAGACTTCCTTTGTGGGCTCCCTGGCATTGGAGGACCTTGAGCCAGGAACATAGACAGTGTGGAAGATAGAAGAGGGAGAAGCCACTGCAGATGTCAGCAGGTTCTTGCCTCAAACAGGATACTGGGCAGTCTTTTCTTTGAGCTTGAATCCATTAGCTGATGAGACCTGTCCAGTTTTCCAACCAGTTAATAGTGGGAAAAGGCGAAGTGTGAGAATTAAAGCCATGAATACGGAACTTGATTCAGGATCATCAATAAATGTGCTTCCCACAGGTAGACTTCTCTTTTCCTTCAGGAATAAGAGCAGTTTGTCAGGGGATGAAAACAAGCCATAGGGCACCAGCAGCAGTACAGTAGAAAGGATGTCTGTTCCAGGGTGCACTGTTGAAATGTCACACTCAGAATCAGTTCCTCTCTTTGTAAAGGTACGAACAACTGGAAGACCATCTCCACGACCTCACAGACTTGCATCAGCATGAGACAGCCAACCTGAAACAGGAGCTGGTCAGCTTTGAGGAGAAGGTGGCCTACCAGGCGAACGAACAGTCTCAGGACATCCAGGTACCACTTCTGTTTTGATTACACATTCAGAAAAGATGCCCTCGGACTTTCATTTCTTTGAACAAACTACATAAATGACTCTTAAGCCATAAAGGATTTCCGATACATCGGGCAAAACGTTTTCCCTGTACAAACAATTCTCCTCCACTGTTGGCTCATGTTATAGTTGTTGTTAGATGCAGTTGAGTCCACGAGGATTCCTAGTGACCCTGTGAACAGGAGATCAAAAGCTTGCTCTGTCCTGTTCCACCCTCCTGACCTCCTCCATGCTCAAGCCCATCGTTGCAGTGACTGCATCTCTCCATCTCATCAAGAGTCTTCTTGTTTTTCATTGACCTTTTACTTTTCCCAGCATGATGTCCATTTCCTAGGATGGTGCCACTCAGCAACATGCGTGAAGAATGGGCATTACATCTGTGTGATAGGCCTCATGTTCTTTCAACTTAAATCACTTAGTAAGAATTTATTATCTGCCCCAAGCTCATCACTTATTCTCTGCCCTGTCCACTACTACTAATTTTTTTTAGGGTATTTGACTCCTTGGAGGCAAGGATTCTGAGGCTCCGTCTAACTTACTTTGGACATGTTGTGAGGAGAGACCGGTCCTTAGAGAGGGACATCATGCTTGGGAGGGTGGAGAGACAGCGCAGGAGAGGAAGGCCCTCTATGAGGTGGATTGATTCAGTTACTGGGATAATTGGGATGGGCGTGTCAGACAGTGCGATTGGCACAGGACAGAGCGGAGTTTAGGGTTGTACATAGGACCGCTGTGAGTCGCAGGTGACTCGACGGCACATAACAACAACAACAACATTTGACTAACAGAATTGCCTGTGTTTGGGTTTTTTCATTTATTTTAATGAAAGTTTACAGAGACTTTGGATTTCCATTCATTCATTGCTGTACACTTTCCTCTCTGCCCACCCCTTCCCCCCAGTTCGCTTTTTTCTTTGAAAAGTAAAAAAAAAATCATTGTTATGCAGTCTTCTTCCCCCAGTACACTACACTATGCAGCTTTCATTTTTTTTTTTAAATGTAAGAATATGAGAGAAACCCTGCCCTTCAGTAAGCGTACTTCTCAGCCAGGAGTCAGTCAGTTTGCATAGCACAACTGAAAGCTGCAGAGATTCAGACACAACAAGCTTTGCAGTGAGCCTTTGCATTCTCATTCTTGTGTTGACACACCCTGGAGTCCAGTCTCAGGGAAGCCATTTACTCCTAGTGGGGTTCTAAGTAAGCCTTGAATATGTTTGTTCATCTACAGCATAATGTTTTTTATATTCTAATCTACTTAAGAATTCCAAGCATTTGAACGCGTACTGTGTGTCATGCACTCAGAGAGCACTGGACATACTTCCCCCCCTTTCACTCCTCACAGTCTCCCTATGAGGTAGTTCCTCTTGTCCCTCTTAGATGTTGAGACTGACACAGAGAGAGATTAAGTGATTTGAACAAGCTCTCGCCAAATAGTCTTTGAATAAAGTTTGTGAAGGAATTTCCTGGAGAAGGTGAGAGCTGAGGAGTAAATAGGATGTAGGTTGTTGGATTATACGCACATCATTAGAAACTAAGGGACATTCATTTCTCTGTCCTCCAATTGATGTCAGTGCTGTAATGAAACAACCTTGGCCTGCTTGGTTGACTTCTTTTATTAATTTTTAACAAAAGAGTGTAGTCTTCAGATTCAGTTTTAGAAACTTGCTTTGTAGGACAGCAGTAGTTCTTTATCTCGGTTAAGACAGTTGGCCATTTCAAGCCCCACATCGTAAAGGAGAAAGTTGAAACGTAAATGTAGAGATTTCTTCTCCAGTGTGTAAGTTAGAGTCCCACTGCCTGTTTTTATTCTCATGTGTGCTGCAGGCCAGTCCTGTGCCAAAACTTAGCCTGGACATTTCTGGGAACCAGACCACCAGAGATGATAGCAGGGGCTTGCCTCCAAAGACTACTGACCTTCCTTTGGGACAGAAGACAACTAACTGGGAGGTTTCTTGTCCGGCTCTGGGCTAGGAGACTTAGCAACCCACTGACGGATTTGCAAAATGTGAATCTAATTATATGTTGAATATTGTTAGGCACCCAGTTCAGGCAGTGCCTTAGACATTATTTTAGAACATGTCTGGGATATTTGGGTTTTGTCAGAATGTTAACTTAAAGTTAGTTTTATTTGAAAAATAATCTAGAATAAAACTCTTCCCTTTTTAAGAAGTACATGTTTGAAGTGAAAGGGTCAGATAAAGGGAGGGACTTTACAAAGGGAACTTAAAAATTCAGGAGTTCATTTCAAGAGTTTCTAGTTTCAATCTAGCTCAGATATGCAAAGATGGTATCTTTTTTAGTGACTAAAACAGTGTTTTTCTTTGTTAGAATCTGTTCTCCACCATTTATTCTCTGTGTAGTTCTAGATAAATAAGCTTGTGGTGCCTCAGTCAGTTTCTCCTTCTACAAAATGGAAATATTAATTAGTTCTACCTCGAAAAAAGGGAGGCAGCCACTCTGGTGGTCTAGTGGCAAGAAAATATGCTACAATCTCAAAGGCACATGGTTCAAATCCACCAGTTGCTCTGTGGGAGATGGATGGGCAGTCTCCTCCTGTGCATTCGACTGCCTCTGAAAACCCACTGGAGGGTCAGCTATGGATCAGTTCCAACTCAGCCATACACAACACACTCAGAAAGGTTAGATGTTGCAACACTAAGCTAACAGCAAATGCTAGTTCATTTCTTTTTTGTCACACTGTGGAATAGCTGCATTCTTCAAGCAGTTGGCCCAGCTCCACTCCATCTTTATTTCTTATTCCTTTTCCTCTTTTAGGCAGGGCTACTGGGACTTAAGGTGTCTCTACAAAGATATGCTTTTATTGTTGTGTTTAGCATTATGCTTTGTGTTTGTTGGGTTGTTTTGGTATTTTTTAAAATTTTTTTATTCCCAATTAAAAATGTGTAAAAATACTCCCTTTATTTTCTTGAGCTTTACATTTTGCCCCCCCCAAAAGTGCTGAATATTCTAAAGCAATTCTAAGATCTGTGCAGTTAATCTCCCCAATAGTATATTGATGAATATGAGTGATAGATTTATACTTCTTTTTTCTCACTCACCTTTTCTATTCATGCCCAAAACAGAGTAAACCTTTACTGTAAGTAGTTGAAAAGAGCGCTGTTCCCTGGGGGCTGTGCCTGTCACTGTAGTTGTTATTATGTGCCACTGAGGCCACTACGACTCATAATGACCCTGTGAACAGTGGCTCTGAATTTTGTCCTGTTACGAGCCAGCCTCACCAGCTCTGACACACCTGACCCATTTGTAATGGACTCGAGAAAGCCAGCACACTGTGGGCATGAGAGGATCTGAAGAAGTTTTACCTTCTCTTTGTGGCAGTATAATTAAAGTTACTATAGTAACAGAAAACCCTTTTCTTTGGTGCATAGAATATATTCAACAGAAGGAAAGAAAATCAATGCTGGATCCATTATGCTTGTTTAAAGTCTTAAAAAGATGACTACATGTAATTGAGCAAATGTGCCATGGTAAATGAGTTAGATAAGAGACGCGTGAGCTAAAGGAACACACTGCATTGCCTCTAGTTAGGTTTTTTCTCTCAAAGTGGCACAAAGGTGTTTTGCTCTTGGCTTCACATCTTAATATGGGCGGCACCCACCAAGCCAAAACCCAAGATGGTGCTGACCCCTGATGACTTTGCATCAGGTTTCTGGGATTGTAACTCTTCATGGGAGGAGACAGCCTGTGTTTCTCTTACAGTATAGCTGGTCAATTTGAGTTCTGACCTTTCTGTTAGCAGTTCGGCATAATGTGCACCACCCAGTCGTGGCCTCTTAATGCTGGTGCCCAGGCTCTTCATCATGCAGTAGCTGTTCAGTCACTGCTGTGTGCTGGCACCTGAGCTCTCTGCCGGACACAACAGCAGCACAGCAGGATGGGCCCTGTCTCGCTGTGACCTCATACCAAAGGAGGATGGTCAACGGGAGACCTGGTCTAGCCCAGTGACACACAGCAGGCTTCCCCCACGAAATGACAATTAATGAATTGAAGATCCTGCATTGAAGAGAGGAGAAAAGAGAGGTGAACATTTCAGGCAGGTCACATCACAGGGAATGACCACATCTTTTCATGACTGCCTAACCCTGCCTCATTATGATCATAACAGCGGCAGAGTATATGGCATGGGAAAAGGCCTTTGGGTAAGATAGGGCTCCTTGATGATGGTGAGAGTGTTAAACGTGACTGGTTGACTGGGTCTGGACTATGTCGGGCCTCAGAGGACCATGGTAGGGAATAACATCAAATATGTGTCTTTTAAAGTACACTTGGACTTCTGGGTGGACAGTGGTTTCATGGACTTGGGGGACAGGAGGATGTTCAGAGAAAAGAGTGTAAGGTTGTTGCAGGCAGGGGATTGTGGTAACGTGATTTGGATGGTGGCCGTGAGAGGAGAGAGATGGGGGCTGATTAGATACATAGTGGTTGTGGCACCAACAGGCCTGCTTGATGGATCTGATGAAAAGCTCACATGACTTCTGGTGTGAGGAACTGGGTGGATCCTGGTGCTCTTTTATGAGAAAGAGAGAGCAGAGGGGAACATGATTGACTGTGGGGTCAGAGAGATGGAAAGGAACACAATCTATAAAACCATACATGGGCATGTCAAACCTGAGATGCTTTGACGAAGCTCAAATGGAGATGTCAAAGAGGAATATAGATTTAGGAATCAATCTAAGAAGAGACAGTTGGGCTAGAGAGGCACTTGGGAGTCGTCTTGTATTTGAAGCCTTGGCGTGTACAAGGTCTACAGAAGAGAAGGATGTAATTTAGGGCCTTGTCTGAGGAGTATAAACTCGAAGAGCTGGTGGAGGCGTGGTTTCCCCTGTGTTACGTAATCCTGGCCCTTCCCTTATTCTTTCTCTTTTTCTCTGCATTCTCGACTCCTTTAAAAAATTGATACACACAAACTCCACGCAGAGGAAATAAAACCCCCAGTGGGATTTGGAAGCTGTGTGTAGAGCTGCTCCCTAGGATTTTCTCCCTGTTGTCTTTACAGAACCCGATCACTAAGTCTCTCTTCTGCCACGGGGTGGATTTGAACCACCAATCTCCATGTTAGTAGATGAGTGTAAACCATTTGCATTACCCAGGGACTTAAGCATAGGACTAAGGACTAACGGTGGAAGACACTGCTATGCTGAAGACAGTCAGTGTCATAGAACAGAACCCCATCCTCCTCGGATTGGCCCCTGCCAGGGTGTCAACAGACATGGTATCAATATTTTTATACTTCTGATAACCCTTGTCTTAGATATCTATTGTTGCTGTACTGGAGATACCACATGTGGATGACTAACAGCTTTGTTCTCTTATGGTTCAGGAGTCTTGAAATCCAAATTCAAAATGCTGACTCTAGAGGGAGCCTTTCTCAGTGTGTATCTTGTCTACTTGTTTCATCTCTCCTTTTGTCTCTTTTGAGAGAAAAGTGTTACAGGTGTACCCCAGGGAAACTCCCCTTTCATCAGCACAGGGCTGGCATCTAATTAAGGATGTTGCATGGCACCCTAATCCCCTTATTACTTACTAGATCCCATCAAGGAGAATGACAACATCCTTATGTAACTGCCTCAGTGACATCCTGCTGTTGCTGCTGTTATATACTGTTCAATCGGAACTGACTCCCAGCTGACCCTCCAGGAGGTTTTCTGAGGCTGTAAGTCCCATGGGTGCAGTTTGCCCATGTCTCTCCTGTGGAAGAGCTGATTTGAACCACATGCCTTCAGGTTGACAGTGCAGCTCCTTTCCACTGTGCCATAAAAGGCTGGCATTTATCACACATCATATAATTATATTGTACTGAGGTTCATGGCCCAGCTACGTTGAGAGTTGTTGTTAGGTGCTGTTGAGTATAACCCTTAGAAACCTTATGAACAACAGAGCTGAATGAACCCTGTCCTATCCTGTGCCATCCTCACAATTTCTGACACACTTGAGCCCATTGCTGTAGTCACTGTCAATCCATGTAATTTAAGTTCTTCTCGTTCACCAACCCTCTACCTTTCCAAGCATGATGTCCCTCTGCAAGGAATGGCCTCTCCTAGCAACGTCTATTTTTAAGCAGATGCAATTGAATGTACGGTAACCATAATTCTTCATCTGTGGCTGTCTACCTGTGTTTGTTCTGTCCTGGAGTAATAGGAACCACGAGAAAATGAACCCTGGGTTCTTGCCTTGCTCGTCTGTTATCACTGGCATCATCATTGTCCCCATGACTCCGGCCCTTTGAAGCCTCCTGGGCGTCCGGCGTTCTGAGCCCTGGGCCCTTGTGCACATTCCCCCGTGACCTCCATGGTGTTTGATCTCTGCTGTCTCTTTCTTGTGCACAGGAAGCCTTGGAATCCTACCAGACTCGCATTTCTAAGCTGGAGCTGCATCAGCAGGAGCAGCAGGCCCTGCAAACGGACACTGTGAATGCCAGAGTCCTCCTGGGGAAGTGCATCAACGTGATCCTGGCCTTCATGACTGTCCTCTTGGTGTGCGTGTCGACCATTGCCAACTTGGTCTCACCCATGATGAAGAGCCGCCTCCACATCCTGGGCACCTTCGCCGCTGTGACTCTCTTAGCTATATTTTGTAAAAATTGGGATCCTATTCTGTGTGCCATAGAACGGATAATAATACCAAGCTAAAGCCACTGGTTCTTACCTTCAGATTCTTTCCAATTTTGTTTTTTTAGGGGTTGGGTTTGTGGGTTTTTTTTAGGGAAAACTTTGTGCATACTACCAAATTTTACCATTAATGTTTGTGCCGACTCAAGATTACAAGAAGGCCTGGGGCTGTGTGTGGTGTAAATAGCAGCAGTTCTTCTAAGTCAGGAGCAGCTGCCAGTTCCTGCCTGTGCTCAGTTAATGTGAATCTGTTTCCGAGTTCTCCCCGCACTGCTCACTGCCTTAATCAGACGAGATTTCCCACTCACCTGACTCACCCAGCACATAACCTCTGTTATTGTGCAACTGGCACAATTCATGACCCTGAAAAAAAGGATTTTAAATCTCTATCAAAATTGAGCTTTATTATTGCCACCAGTGCTCTTTTGCTCGAGTCCTAGAAGCTGCAAGCTTGTGGCACGACTTGGGGAAATGAAGAAAGGCAGGATTTGGCGGTGTGGAGACTTGTAGCCTACGGCAAGTCCCTGTGTGATCCAGCCCACTTGTTCACAGGCGACTGTAGATCCCATGCTGTACCCAGTGTCCACCACGATCAACTGTGAGACTCTGTAGCATGGAAATCTTGAGACACACCTGTTTATCCAACACACCTGTTTATCCAGCTGGGTTTCTGCTGTACGTTACATGGCAAGGCACAGGGAGCTATGAGTGGGGAAACAGGGGAGCATTAGATGTGGGGAACTGGAAAGCTGGCTTTATCCATTTGTCCCACCTCCACAGCATGCCAAAGTGCTGCCTCATCCCCTCCTAAGACTGTGGCTTTAACCTTCAATTTGAGTCCGGTATGCAGGACTCGAAAAGCTTGTGTTTGGGCAGATCTTAACTGTGATGAAATCTCCCTGGAGGCTGCGAATCAGTTTATGGGATTCGCTTCATGCGTCAGTCTGTGAGGGATTACAAAACTTTTTTTCTGGCAAATGGAAGCAAATAATGCCCCTGTTGCTTGGTTGTCTTTTTATTTGTTTTCACAAGGACAACAATAATCTGTTCACCACACTAAAATGACCTGAGGTAGTGACCGCTAGAAGCATAAGGAAAATTGGATGTGTGGCCTGACTGGATGGTGGCTAGATCAATGAGAGTAATTCATCTGCAGGAAGGTTGAGCAGGACTTGAAAGACCAGCACGAATGAAATAAGATCTAGTGCTGCCAAATAAAACCAAGGTTGCCATCTACCTGATTTTACTGAAAACATCTCCCAGGCAAAACCAAAAACTGAACCCACTGGCCCTCAAGCTGGCTTCATCTCATCATGGCCCTCCCTTGGGTTTCCAAGGCTGTAAATATTTACAGCAGGAGACTGCCCGCCTTTCTCAGTCAGAGCTGATGGAGGCATAGTCTGTTAATATGTCAGGCTGATAACAGAAAAATTGGCAGTTCAAATCCACCAGGTGCTCCTCAAAGATGACTTGATGGTGGTGGGTACTGAAAAGATGCTCTGAGGGAATAGTATGACCACACTCCGAGTACCATGCAAACAGCCAAAAGTTGGTTAACATCTTTAGTTAACATGTTAGTTAACCTGTTTAGGGGATACCACTCACTCACCATCCTCAGCCCAAAAGATACTTGGCTTTATGTCATACAAAACAAAAAAGGAAACCAGCAGATTCCACGGCAGCACTGCTGTTGGACCCCTCCTCCTACCGCAGAGGCCTGTTGGTGTGCATATTCTTTCAGAAAACTTCAAATCACCAGAATTCAAATTAAGGGCAATATTTTTGGCAAATAGCTGCTCTTAGGGAAATCTCCTGGAAAAAAATGTGACCGAGCGTGCCATGATTAGAGCGAATAGAATAGTGTTTAGTATAAACTGGGCGTGCCTGAGCTTCATACAACATTTTTTAAGTGTACAATCCAGTAGCTTTTAATATATCCACAACGTTGGACAACTTTCAACTCTATATAATTTCAGATTCAAGTTTTTTAAAAC